AGGTATGTATGTGCAAACTGGTGTTTGATATTAATTTCGTATTTCATATTTTTTTTAAAATTCTCGCATTTGTTTGCATCGTTACTTCGTTACGCTTTTTTTCGGCCGCCAATATATGGTATTTATAAATGTGGGCAATCATATTTTGAAATACAACTTTTTTCTGCTAGTTCCATGCATTGACCCCAAGCCATTGGGAATGCAAAGTGGCAAAATACCCAATTCGGCAATCACAGCATCGTCAATATATAGTAATTTATACCACCCTTACTTCGCGAGATTGAATAAGAGTGGCAGTTCTTGTTGTTGGGCACCGACTGCAGCAGGAAGAGTCAATTAGCTGTCACAGGATTTTCAACTCGAGGAACATGTTATAGCCATGCAGAGTGGGCGATCTCTTACTCTATTTCTTACAGCGATAATGGTAGTACTTGGACTCTTTATGAAGAGTCAGGGACTGCAAAGGTGATCAAATAAAGTGGGTCGTATAATTATCCACAATATACTCAGTAGTAATTTTATATTACTATGTTAATTGTAAAAAAGTAATTGAAAACGCCGTTACAGTATTTCAAAGGGCTATTTAATAGAGTGCATGCACGTGAAGTTTCAATATATATGGCAGTTTTTAGGACATGACTTTTTTGCTTAAACCATATAGCGAATACTTCCACACGGACTTTATAAGCGCTAAACATTCTGTGCATGGTTGCCCAAACAGGGTGGACAAAATATGCGGTCCTACTTGCGTGTAAAAGTGTTGCATATAATTCATCAAAGTTTATAAATTTTAATAAAACTAATCCTGGTGTTTTTTTTTCAGGTTTTTCAAGGCAACAAAGATCGAAACACCATTGTTACCCACACATTTAAAACTGGAATCAAAGGTCGATACATTCGTGTGTTGCCGAAGTCATGGAGCAACTATCCTACACTGAGACTCGAGTTGTACGGTTGTTACTGACTAGAACGTGCATGAAACATCCTTAGAGTAAATTTCCCAATAATTGAAATGTTTAGTGGCGGTATTAATCGTAGACTTTTTTAGATTTAACTTGTAGACTAGCTTGCATGTTTCATCTAATAACTATGCAATAAATGAAATAGAAAAACATAAAATTGGCATTATTGTTTCGTCAAAATTCTACTACTTAAACTATGTTTATTACATAGCTAGCGTCACTTCTGGGAAATGGAGCTCAATGATTGGCTGAAAAGAACTTTCAGTGGTCCACTTTCGGCGATCCATTACGAGATTAAAGGACAGAGAAATCCTTAATGAAAAAGGCACAAATATAAATGCCCAAGAGAAAATTTAATTGATTTTGAAATTAATAAGACGTCTCCATGCGGCAGTTTAGGTAAACTAAATAATTCCGTATTTTGTTTTTATCAACTCGTACCAGGCTATTTATACTAATACGAATTCATGCATTTCTTGTTTGTTTCAAGTGCTTAATTTTTTATTAACCTCGATTGCTCGGTCTTTACCAAGAAATATCGCGGACCTTCGAAGCGATTGTATGCTTTACGATTCCTTAAGAGATCTTCCATACCAACGGACCAATCGAGTTTATACTACGCGCGCATTCGTCCAATCCTAGAATTTTCGTGCGAGGTATGGCTTACAGCTTAACGCAATATTTGGGCGACGAGATAGAAAGTATTCAACGCAGAGCCCTTCGTATAATCTTCCCAGAACTCAACTACGAAGATGCGTTAGTACGCGCTAGGGTGGTGTTGCTGTCTCTACGGAGAAAGACCATATGTGACAAACTTTTTGTTCAAATGTGTCACGAAACAACCCATAAACTCCATTCCCTTGTTCCACCGAGACACAGAACAAGTTACTCTCTGCGTAATGATAATTGCCTTTCAATCCAAAAACATAGGACAAGTAGGTTTGCCAATAGTTTTATAATGGCCGGTAGCAGGGCCTATAACTCTAGTTTTAAATAGGTTTTATGTGTAAATAGCTATATGACTTGTAAATAATTAGTGTTTTTAGACCATTAACTATATTCATGTAAACCAATGTAATTCAGTTTTAACTGCAATATTGGCATTTTAAATATATAATATATAATATAACCTCGATCTTTTTGTACAAACCTCGTTCTTCGAGCTCGGTCTGTACAAAAAGACCTCAGTCCGAATTTCTCGGCAAAGACCTCGTGCTCAGTTAATAATTAAGAAGCTAATATTGTTCACTAACCTAAGTTTATAAATTTGGGAACACGTGGGTCAAGAGTGTTGTGTGCTAAGATGTTCTTTCTTTATTTAGATAATTCTCGTACATTAAATAATATAAAGATCCCGTGTTAAAATAATGTCAACATGTCAGTCCTCTCGCTTGAGTTCACTGGGCAGCGAGCTCTCTCAAGCCCGCTGACCTATGCCTGCGTTGCTTAAACTTCGTGTAACAGTCACTACAGTTCTCGCCTTTTTGGATGACAAGAGTACTGGTCTGTTTCATTTGGCTGGAGTGAAACCATAATAAGGTGGCTGCTACCGGGCTGATCAGCGGGTCCTTGATTGGTAATACAGATCATATGGTAACATAGTTAAATTTATGTTAAATCTGATGCAGGTCCACAATTTTGTTGGCAAAAAATGTTTAAAACTCAGCTATTGGACATACTTAAATTTATTGTTTTAAACACATGAGGAGGCAAAATATTGCAAGAGTTGGCCTGTATCATGATTTTGTCTGAAAAAATTACAATAATTTTTTAACATGAAACAGATTCGCTGTATACACAACCTTTATTAATTTTACTTCAATAGTCCAGTGTTGCTACCTGATTTTTGAATAAAAATGAAAGTTATACAGAATTATACTGTAACAGTGGCGGATCTACGAGTGTGCAGAATAAATGACTACAGCTTAACATCGGAATCGCATTAGTACATTTTATTTTAAAAATGTTATTTTCAAATCTATGACCAATAGCGTTGTTATTAAGGTGTTTTGAGTTTAAAATTAGGCTGTGTAATTTATTCAGCACACCCCAAGTTCCGCCACTGTACACTGCCTATTTTATATTTTCATGGTGATTGTATATGGTTTTATTTATCCTGGTTAAGCACATGTTGAACAAGTTTCAGCGAATCAGGCCCAGATGCTATATCCTACATGCTCTTTCTTGTTAATTATAGACTTGTCCTGATAAATCTCTTGTAAAAAATTGCCATTTCATAGTACAAAAATAATTTTATATCACGTATATACTTACAGCTGTATGGTTTTGGAATGAATTGTCCTATATTAGTCATCCACCAATTTGTCCTACATGTGCCATATGAGAAGGCATAGTTTTTTGAAAAACCAGTTAATCAGAATAAATATTTAGGCTTTCTATTTCTTTGTTTTGTTTCTTGAGATAGAGTATAAAAACGCAGGAGCTACGGGATTTTTCGAGAACGCAGAATCAACATATTGCACGCATATATACAGTTAATGGCATTTATATATATATATGTGTAATACTTGCGTTTTGCATGGTGATGAATTGTATGGGTACGTATTTATTGTACATACATTATATATATATTATATATATATAATATAATATTATATATATATATATTATATATATATATAAATATATATATTATATATATAATTAATATATAATATATTATATATATATAATAATATATATATATATATATATATTATATATATATATTATATATACACCCGTTTGCAAAAACGTTGGCCGCAGATAGATATATAGATAGATATACCCGAAATCTAATTAGAATTGCATATGTTGTGTAATATGATTGAAATCCCATGCAAATGTATTCATATGCAATTCTAATTAGACTTCGAGTATCTATCTATCTAAATGCGGTCAACGTTTTTGCAAATGGGTGTGTATATATATATATACATGACGGTACCGATGGTGTGGCCGTTTAGTGCGCGTATTACCTCAGCTGGAATTCACGAAACGAATATATTAATTACTGATGGTGAAACTTAAAACTTTAATGTAATTTATGATAAAATTAACTATATACATATTTAAAAGATTCTAAGTAAAACTAGACCAAAATTAACTATTCTAATCACCATACATTTTCAGATGGACTGTTTAAACTCTTTTTGAAAATCATAATGATTGTTGTTCTTCCTAATTTTTATAGAAAAGGAGTACTTTGCACGTAAAGTTAAAATCTTAAAAAAGTTTAAAAAACCTCTGTAATCTTAACATTTAGTCCAAAATCGTCTACTACTTCAAATTATTTTCTATAAAAAGGTGATCTAGATCCCCTTACACTCGCATGTACCGATCTTAGAATTTCGAAAGAGATTTTAGCTGGTTCTCAACCAAGATATGACAACTACATAACGTTCATGATCTCTTTCTGCTAATTTCTGCGCCAGCTGAGTAAGAAACTTTTGGCATTCAGACCGATGGTGAATAACTTTACCAATGGTAAATAACCTTTTCCGTGGTTGCGAGAGTATTGGACATGTATAGGGAATTATTCGAGTTAAGCGACAGTTATATTTAGGTCAGTGTTACCTGACATGCGAAAACGAAAGTGTACCGAAAGGTCGACCGGACGACAAACATTGGAATGCAAAGCATTTTAGCATTTGATACAGCTTTTAATCATTAATTTTTATAAAAAATGTATCATGTAATTGCTCAAATTGCGAGGAAATTTTCCTTTTTGATTGATCCCGCCCTTATGTATGTAACGAAACAGCTTATTAACAATCAAATACATGATATTCCAATTTGTTTGGTTTTATGTTTCAGAGGATATAATTTTATATATGTTCGATTTAAAGATAACTAAGATTTAAATCATTTAATGCTCTGAGATGTCGTTCTTATTGATTTTCGATTTTAGGGTGAAACACTGCAAACGATTGACTATTTTCAAAAAAATTAAAACGATTCCTTTCAGATCAGATATTTAAACGTAAAGTCCGTCGCCGTATTTTCTTCTTATTTTCAATTTCAGCTGTTGTCGAATATTCACAGTTGCCGCTGACAGAAGTAATGACGACTGATCGAACATGGCAAATCATTCCATTTCCCTGTTGCTCCGTTCAACATTTCCACGCAGTTTTCATGCCCGCCAGCATTGTTAGGCTCCCCTGTGTTCCAGTTTTCATAGGAGATCTCCTCATCTCTCACTGTGTAAAAGATACTTGCAGGTTTTCGGTACATACCAATCCACGCCGCGTTGAAGTTATGTTGTCTCATAGCCTGATATAGATAATTATTCATATTCGTGTTGTTTGGAACTGCCAAATGACCGCCACGCTGACGACAGTTTTCTTTCGCATTATTCCATGGTATCGCAACGCCATTGCTGATATAAAAGCAGAGTCCATCGAAAGTCTCCCACCCAAGAGGGCATTTATTAGCTGAAAATATTGTTTAAGATACATTCTCTTTAGTATATCTGTCTCCGACAGATACAACGAAGGTGTAAACATTAATTCGTACAACGCATGCGGAAAACCCTTGTTTCGGTTAAACGAAATTAGTTAAGCATTGATATGGTAACATGTTAGAAAATTTATGTCGGTTGGGAGTTTGGATGGGTGTGTAAGAAAAGAGGTATGGAAAAAATTGCCAAAATACGACAATTAAGACCTAGATTCTCACCTTATTCGGAGTTTAATTTTTCTCATCTAAATAGCCAGTGTTATGTTAATTTATTATATCTATAAAGAGGGAGCCTCTGCAAAAGCGGATCATTGGATCTGTGCTTCAAAAATTGATTTCTTTTTTCTTTTTCTGCCCTCTGCAAGGAGAATGCCTAACGAAAGCTATAGTATACCAAGCGACCGTGAAGAATGAAAGTACGAGAGAATCTCAAACCTACGTTGGCCTTAATATTATTTACCACGAAACAGTTCTGTTGTAAATAAAATTCGTTGAAGTAACCCGTGTTTCTCAACCTGTGTTATATACCGCTCTCTGCAAGCATTAAGCACTTTATCCGGACGATTTTGATTTTCTGTCATCGCTTGCAATACTATGGCAATACTATGTAAACTTAGCATCATTGAAAAATATCAGTATATTTGCTATGTTTTGTTTTTTATTATGTGTATAGAGATTTATGCACAGCAGAATGATGAAATAAAATCGTATTTCATTGTGTAAATTAATTTCATGCAATTTGATTCGACGTAAAATGTTTATCACGTGTGAAAAATGCCATAATTAAATATGGGCTCATATGTACGCTTTTTATTATGAAATTGTTGTAAAGGATCGCAAACTCGCTCGTTCGAGCTACGCTCACTCGTTCGTTTTGCGATCCTTCACAACTCCTGCATAAAAATCGTACGTACTTGCCAACCATGAAGTAATAATCTCTATTTATTTCACAACTGAAAACAATTTTATAGCTACCTTCGCATTTTCGTCCTTCTCCTGTGTAACCAGGTTGACACTGGCAGTTGAATGAACCTGGAGTGTTGAAGCATTTTGCATTTTTGTCACATTTGTGCGTTCCTTTTTCACATTCGTTGACATCTAGAATAATAAGCAAAGGTATATATTGAAGTTAAGAACATCATTAGCATCATACATTTACAGGAAACTGCTCGGTCGAGGAATGTAGCTCTTTCAGTATTTGTATATAATGCAGTGCAATCAAGGCAGGAACTAGCGTTAAAATATTTATATTCATATAATCCTGTTCTCCAAGAGGGACTTTTTTTAAAAAACGGACACGCACATATATATAGCCTATATATATAGCAACATAACTTAATTGGAGGGGGGCGGATGTTATTCATTTTTTCGCCTTATTCACAAGATCTATGAGATTATTTTTAAGCTTTAGCTTATCCAGTTTTAATCTAAACGCCTTTTGGACAACCGGCCCCTGAACTAACCTATGCAAATACTACGATAAATAGCGTAGTTTCTTTTTGTGGCAGTATTATGTAATCTCAGAATATTTCAAAAATATCAGTATATATAGTGCCATGTTTTGTTTTTTATTTTACAACTAAAAACAATTTTATAGCTACCTTCGCATATCCGTCCTTCTCCTATGTAACCAGGTTGACACTGACAGTTGAATGAGCCTGGAGTGTTGGTGCATTTTGCATTTTTGTCACATTTGTGCGATCTTTTTTCACATTCGTCGACATCTAGAATAATAATCAAGGTATATTGAAGTTGAGAACATCATTAGCATCATGTAGCTATTTCATTATTATTTTGTAATGCAGAGCAATCAAGGCAGGAACTAGCGTTAAAATATTTATATTCATATAATCCTGTTCTCCAAGAGGGACTTTTTTTAAAAAACGTACACACACACACATATATATATATATAGCACATAACTTAATTGGAGGGGGGCGGATGTTATTCATTTTTTGCCTTATTCACAAGATATATGAGAGTATTTTTAAGCTTTAGCTTATCCAGCTTTAATCTAAACGCTTTTTGGACAACCGGCCCTGAACTAACCTATGCAAATACTACGATAAATAGCGTAGTTTCTTTTTGTGGCAGTATTATGTAATCTCAGAATATTTCAAAAATATCAGTATATATAGTGCCATGTTTTTGTTTTTTATTTTACAACTAAAAACAATTTTATAGCTACCTTCGCATATCCGTCCTTCTCCTATGTAACCAGGTTGACACTGACAGTTGAATGAGCCTGGAGTGTTGGTGCATTTTGCATTTTTGTCACATTTGTGCGATCTTTTTTCACATTCGTCGACATCTAGAATAATAATCAAGGTATATTGAAGTTGAGAACATCATTAGCATCATGTAGCTATTTCATTATTATTTTGTAATGCAGAGCAATCAAGGCAGGAACTAGCGTTAAAATATTTATATTCATATAATCCTGTTCTCCAAGAGGGACTTTTTTTAAAAAACGTACACACACACACATATATATATATATATAGCACATAACTTAATTGGAGGGGGGCGGATGTTATTCATTTTTTGCCTTATTCACAAGATATATGAGAGTATTTTTAAGCTTTAGCTTATCCAGCTTTAATCTAAACGCCTTTTGGACAACCGGCCCCTGAACTAACCTATGCAAATACTACGATAAATAGCGTAGTTTCTTTTTGTGGCAGTATTATGTAATCTCAGAATATTTCAAAAATATCAGTATATATAGTGCCATGTTTTGTTTTTTATTTTACAACTAAAAACAATTTTATAGCTACCTTCGCATATCCGTCCTTCTCCTGTGTAACCAGGTTGACACTGACAGTTGAATGAGCCCCGAGTGTTGGTGCATTTTGCATTTTTGTCACATTTGTGCGATCTTTTTTCACATTCGTCGACATCTAGAATAATAATCAAAGTATATTGAAGTTGAGAACATCATTAGCATCATGTAGCTATTTCATTATTATTTTGTAATGCAGAGCAATCAAGGCAGGAACTAGCGTTAAAATCTTTATATTCATATAATCCTGTTCTCCAAGAGGGACTTTTTTAAAAAACGTACACACACATATATATATATATATATAGCTACATAACTTAATTGGAGGGGGGCGGATGTTATTCATTTTTTCGCCTTATTCACAAGATATATGAGAGTATTTTTAAGCTTTAGCTTATCCAGCTTTAATCTAAACGCCTTTTGGACATCCGGCCCTGAACTAACCTGTGCCAATACTACGATAAATAGCGTAGTTTCTTTTTGTGGCAGTGTTATGTAATCTCAGAATATTTCAAAAATATCAGTATAGTGCCATATTTTGTTTTTTTATTTTACAACTAAAAACAATTTTATAGCTACCTTCGCATATCCGTCCTTCTCCTGTGTGACCAGGTTGACACTGACAGTTGAATGAGCCTGGAGTGTTGGTGCATTTTGCATTTTTGTCACATTTGTGCGTTCCTTTTTCACATTCGTCGATGTCTAGAATAATAATCAAGGTATAATTATTCAAGTTAAGAACTGATTATTAGCATCATAAATTTACTGGAAACAGCTTGGTTGAGGATAGTATAGTTATTTCATTTTTTTGTAATGCAGTACAATCAAGGCAGGAACTAGCGTTAAACTATATTCATACTTATATACGTCCGCCATTGGACAAATGAGCTGTAATATTTCAATGTAAATAGTTTATTGGTCAAGGGAAGTATACATTAACTGCGTATATGCAGTTTCATTCATTCACAAGATCTATGAGAGCATTTTTAAACTTTGGCTTATCCAGCATTTAACCTGAACGCCTTTCGGACAACCGGACCCTGCATGATCTAACCTGTGCAATTTGTTCCATTTCCTTCATATCCAGTCCGACATTCACAAATGTACGAACCATTCGTGTTTGTACAGTTTGCATTGTAACCACATGGACTATGTGCACATTCATTGATATCTGCAAAGTTTACTCATATAAGACTCCTTATATCTGAACATAAATTGCTGAATGTTTGCTTTCAAAATGTTCATCCCACTCCTACTCCCTATCCAATGTTGAGAACGATACTAATAATGGCTTAGTTAATGTTGCGAGATAATTATCGTAAAAGTAATCCGACAGAACCTACAAAGTATTTGATTAATAATTTATACTTAAAACAATGAAAAGTATTGGATTAATATATTCAAGACAATGTACCCCACTGCGTTGAATATTGAAATGGTGAATAACTATTTACGCTAGCGCTAATTTCAATCTTGGTAGATGTACCGGGAGGCGCAAAAAAACGTCAACCCTGTTTGATTGAGTATAACTTCAAAATTAAAAGAGCTATTACACTAAAATTATGTTTTTTGTATTTTCTGATCTTTGAATTAAATTTTCATATATATACCATGCCGTTTTTCATGCAAATTTGACCGAGATAACGCGGTTTCAATTTAAGAATGCATTTTTGAAAAGTATAAAAATTAGCTAAAATGGCATATTAAAGTGAGTTGATAAATCCTAGTATTTTATGGCACGGTCGCTATAGTATACCAAGCGACCGTGAAGAATGAAAGTACGAGAGAATCTCAAACCTACGTTGGCCTTACTGAGAACACATTTAAGACACGCTATACACCTCAACCATACTTGCTCTTTCCGCAATAAATCAAGGAAAAACGCCTCGGAGCTAAGCAAACATATTTGGAAATTAAAGGACTCTAATACACCACACTATTGGTTGGATAATAATTAAAAAATCACAACCGTTTTGTAATAAAACTGAACGCTGTAATTTATGCCTATCCAATAAATCTATTATAATATGTCATCCCGAATTAAGCTTTTTGAATAAGCGTAATGAACTTGTTCCAATACATGCAGGCATCGAAAGAAGTTTTTGTTAAGTAATACCTAGTAACCAACTACATGTAATATGACCTAATTATAAGCCTCTTGTATACAGTTGTTGTGCTGTTGTTATAATATGTTGTTATCATATTTATTTACCACGAAACATTTCTGTTGTAAATAAAATTCGTTGAAGTAAACGGCGTTTCTCAACCTGTGTTATACCGCTCTGTGCAAGCATTGAGCACTCTATCCGGACGATTTTTATTTTCTGTCATCACAGTACTGCAATACTATGTAAACTTAGCATCATTAAAAAATATCAGTATATATTGCTATGTTTTGTTTTTCATTATATGCGTATAGAGATTTATGCACAGCAGAATGATGTAATAAAATCGTATTTCACTGTGTAAATTAATTTCATGCAATTTGATTCGACGTAAAATGTTTATCACGTGTGAAAAATGCCATAATTAAATATGGGCTCATATGTACGCTTTTTATTATGAAATCGTTGTGAAGGATCGCAAACTCGCTCGTTCGCTACGCTCACTCGTTCGTTTTGCGATCCTTCACAACTCGTGCAAAAAAATCGTACGTACTTGCCAACCATGAAGTAATAATCTCTATTTATTTCACAACTGAAAACAATTTTATAGCTACCTTCGCATTTTCGTCCTTCTCCTGTGTAACCAGGTTGACACTGGCAGTTGAATGAACCTGGAGTGTTGAAGCATTTTGCATTTTTGTCACATTTGTGCGTTCCTTTTTCACATTCGTCGACATCTAGAATAATAATCAAGGTATATATTGAAGTTTAGAACATCATTAGCATCATACATTTACAGGAAACTGCTCGGTCGAGGAATGTAGCTCTTTCAGTATTTGTATACAATGCAGTGCAATCAAGGCAGGAACTACCGTTAAAATATTTATATTCATATAATCCTGTTCTCCAAGAGGGACTTTTTTTAAAAAACGTACACGCACATATATATATATATATATAATTATATATATATATATATATATATATAATATATATATATATATATATATATATCCAAATGTAATTGTTTGTAATGGATAAAAGAGTGCTCAATACTAATTACAAGTAGAGCGAGTCATTTATTGAAGCGACGACAATATTTTAAGATAAATTCAATATATATATATATAATATATATATATATATATATATATATTATATATATATATAATATATATATAATAATATATATATATATAGCTACACAACTTAATTGGAGGGGGACGGATGTTATTCATTTTTTCGCCTTATTCACAAGATCTATGAGAGTATTTTTAAGCTTTAGCTTATCCAGTTTTAATCTAAACGCCTTTTGGACAACCGGCCCCTGAACTATAACCTGTGCAAATACTACGATAAATAGCGTAGTTTCTTTTTGTGGCAGTATTATGTAATCTCAGAATATTTCAAAAATATCAGTATAGTGCCATGTTTTGTTTTTTATTTTACAACTAAAAACAATTTTATAGCTACCTTCGCATATCCGTCCTTCTCCTGTGTAACCAGGTTGACACTGACAGTTGAATGAGCCTGGAGTGTTGGTGCATTTTGCATTTTTGTCACATTTGTGCGTTCCTTTTTCACATTCGTCGACATCTAGAATAATAATCAAGGTATATTGAACTTGAGAACATCATTAGCATCATGTAGCTATTTCATTATTATTTTGTAATGCAGAGCAATCAAGGCAGGAACTAGCGTTAAAATAATTATATATGTAATACTTATATATATATATATATAGATATAAGGAATAATTCTTGGAATAATTCGAGCCGGGAACAGTTTTTATAGACGAGCAATTGATGAATTTCAGTGCGGATTACGAAGTATTATTTTATGTATATAAAGCGCAAACTTGACCAAATTGACCTTCTCGCTGCTTCGCACACAGCGGCATACCCGAAGGTTTGACTTTAGAACCTTGGAGACAAAGTTATCATCTGCATATGGATGCAATTTTTTATTTCAATTTTGGTCAAACAAACGCGAATTTTGCTCCCGAACTTTGTAATAATTTAGTGCACTTCCGCAACCTGCACAGAGGGGTGGCTTTCAAGGCTGACATCTTGTCAACTAAGCAATCAATGAATTTGACATTTTATGGTTTTATAAGTGGCAAACAAATGGCGAATAAAACGCTTTGCCAGCGCGTTTAGTTTTGATACGGTGCAGTCCTAAATATTGCGAAATTTCGGCCTTGAAAGGGATGACCAAATAGGCCGGCTCGGCACAAGAAAGTTCGAGATTCTAGGAAAGCGAAAAAAAAATTTTTAAAAAAGAAATCCATTTTTATTAGTTCTGTACCAGATCCTTTTGATGTGCCAAGTTTCAGAGAAATTGTTTTTCTGACGTGAAATTCGACGGACCGCTGTTAGGGAGACTGTCACTTAAGTTTTGCATTGTATCATGACAACAGCGTTGGCGATCAAAAATCACTCGCAAATCACACGCGTTGGGGGCACATTTACATTTTTGTTATGCTTCTAAAATATAGCTAGAGCATTTACGAGCCACATCTGACAGTTGTATATTTGCCGATGCCCGCCTGCAACGAATAGTAACGAGAATCGTAACGTACCTAAAATGAGCAAGATCAGTAAAATTCAAAGAATATATTTAATTTTCTACACGATATGACCATCATAGAAATATTCTTTCTTAGCAACACACTTGGCATCTCGAGTTCAGTGCGGAGCCAAGAACGATAATTAGGGCGGCCATATCCATATATTCGTGATACCCAGGATTAATTCATTTTCAAATCAGTTGCCTTTACAGTCTGTTAACATGAATATATGCACCCCCAGCCAATTATCGATGCTAGCTACGCCACTGTTCGAGTTTCCCTGAAAATTTCAGTCGTTAAAGATGGATAAAATTGACGATATTTTGAACGTCGACAAACATGACTTCTTAAATTATTGGGAGTTGTATAATTACATGTTGTGCCACGCTAACTTGTGCATGTTTTGTTATATATGATGGGTGCATGCTAAAATTGTAGAATATATAAAATTCAGTATAGAGCTAATTGAGTCGGAATATCACTTTTCCTTATATAGGAGAAAAATTATTTTTTTCCACAAATATTTTTGATATGCCGTTTGAAAATATGTTTTGCCATTCGTATAATTATATAATTATACCGAACAATATTTAACGTAAACGTTATAAAATAATATTCAATATAACAGTATAATCAAGTTATCAAAGATCCTGGACTAGCAGCGGTGTATATATAACTAGAACGATAATTGGAGGGGGGGGGGGGTTAGGGAATATTCATATATTTAGTTCTACCACACGGAATTCTTTTGTAAAGGAATATATTTTTGGTCCAACGATTAACGATGGCATATCGCTCTTCAACGATAAAAATGTAAAATATATTACACAATATCGTGGTCGCTGTTCCACCTTTTTCCCTTAATTTGCATGGTCATGTGGCAACAGTTAATTTGAAATTAATGTAGTGTGCAGTGCTTAAAGCAGCTTTGCTCTCAATGTTTATTCCTTTGTATAGCTGTTTTAGAAAAAGGGGACTTAAAGGAAAAATCAAACCACCTGTAGTAGCAAATACTTTTGCTTGTATTCTAAAATTTTAAATGATTATATTTTTTCGTCGCAATAGATAGCCGTTGTCGTTTAGATTGCCAAACTCTTTAATTTAGGGGGTCAGGAAAAATTTCGTTAAACAACGAGTCAACTTGTCTTATTATGAAATAAATTCAAGTGTGTATATATGATAATTCTGGGATAAAATCGACAGGTACCTGAATCTGCCATGCTCAGGTTTTTCGGACTGCTTTTGTTCCGTTTTTTGTTTGAATATCTTACATATTTCTTCAATATGGACTGATGATCGGAATGATTGATTATGAAAATTGCCTTAAGTTGCCCTAAAAATACAACAGCGATGCAGAATTAAAAGATGAAAAATAATTGTACCGTTGCATTTCTTTCCATTTCCTTCGTAACCAATTTGACACTGGCAGTTATATGAACCTGGTGTGTTGCTACAATTTGCCTTTGTGTTACATTGGTGTGTACCTTTGCGACACTCATCGACATCTGAAATAAAATTTATAATAAAACTTAGTTTCATATGAAAAGAAAGAAGAAATTGGAAGAAAAATACCATGAAAATGAATTACCTCCGACCATAAATATATGCAGACGACGTATATGCAGATTAGGATTTGCATTTTTTTAAAAAGTTGCACTATATTTTTTTACTTTGAACAGCGACCTGTGTTAAAACTTTTTGCTATTGTTCAATTTGCCAAAAGGACTCCAAATGCGAAAAACGTGATTAAAAACGAAATTTTTGCTTTGTTACGTGCTTTGTAATCTGCTTGAAGTGTAGAAAATAAAAATATTTTGAACCTCTTATATGTTGAAAAAATAGATAAGACATTAGTCAGAATGTTATATGCATGCTCTAAGAAGAAATTTTTATTTTCAACTATTGTTTATTCCAATGGGATTACCTGCAAATGCAAATTCTTAATGCGTATTTTTTCCTTACCTTCTGTTACCTATAATTATGAGAAAGAAGAAAATCTGTTCATAGTAAATTCACATATTGCTTCAATCTTTGGTGCATGCAGAGAATGTAAAATGAGTTGTGCGGAATGAGTGAGACTCTTCGTCCTTTATTTTGTTCTATAAACAATGCAGTTATATAACTCGGTTCTTACCAAACGGTCTTCGTAAAAAAACCATCGCCCATTTTTCATTTTTGTTTTGTTCATCTTTACCGTGCTGTTGCTCAACTGACAGTTTGCTCTATAAAGATTGCTTGGTCTCACTCTGTAGTTGTAACCATAGCAATTTTTTGACTAATACAGAGAATATGGCACTCTCCCAAACGATGAATGGTATGATTTGATATAAGTTCGGATGGACGGAGTGCTTGGTTTCCTGCAAAAACGATATAGACTATCACAGTTGATTATATACCAGTTGTCACAGTTTGTAGCTCGTAGCGTTTATTGGCGAAGAGTGAATCGCGTGTGCGAGTGACGAAATCCTGATGTCGCCCGTTTACCCCCTGCAGGACGAAGATATATAAATAATATCTTCATCATTTTTGATCACAATTGCTTCATCATTTACACATTAAAAATTGAAACGGATTAATTCATGAGAAATAGCAATTTTAATCATGCATGCGCACGTGGGCATACGATCTTTAGACTAGGTCTCCTTTAATAAGTACATAATTATTATAAGGAATAGATATTTCATTGTTTAACTTGTTGTTAGTTTTTCCTTGACAGGTGGTATCGACCGTCGATATTTCGACAGGTCTTTGTGTCCACAAAACCAGTGGCGTCGCCAGTGGGGTGGCAGCCAGTCTGACGAATTTGTTCCGCTATGTAAACTTCGTGTTATTATAGTTATTCATTTCTTTAGAAATTCATTGTTTTCACAGTCAATAAACGCTAAAATATTAGCATAGCGGGACAAATCGTCAGGCTGGCTGCGCTACTGGTGGCAGCGTCATATCGCCAGCATCAATAAGTGCGGTGGGCATGTTCATATATTCACGTTCCCAGGCCGTTAACGTTAAAACAATCTATTTGAAAGAAACATAATGTAAAACACGAATATAATGAATAGAGTCCCCCCCCCACTTATCAAGTTGGAGACGCCACTACATAAAACATAAATTTTATGTTTCAGTCTCGTCAAATAAGTGTTAAATGTTATAATTTTCATGGGTTTTTTATGGGTGAACGATCGTTGTCCGCGGTTCCATGTTAAATAAAAAAAAGGAAGCGATCCAAATTTTTTCAGATCGGATCACATTGCCGGATTTCAAGCTTGGCATCGCGTCACAAGAATTGCCCAATTCAAAATTGGGTTTAAGCTAGGGCAGGGATATTAGATGATGGAAGAACATAACTAAGTATATGCAGCCAGGGGCGTACTTTAGGCGGTGCGGCACTCCCCCCAGCAGCTCATGATAAATTAAACTTATAGTCAGTTCGAAGACCTATATTGGCTGAGGGAAGCCTGATGCTCATCTGGCCGATTTTTATTAGTATTTCGTGCCGAGCTTTGTCTTGAATTATGCGCTATGAAATTTTTGGTTAACATATAAAGTATAACCTAAAAAAAAACTCATGTACGGCAGATACAGTGTGCTCTTTGAGGCAGTTAAATTGTGTATACTCATGTTTGTATAATAACACATCCGCAGAAAAAATTTTACGAAAGAATCAGGGGAATTTAGAGCGATTAAACTTAAAAGTCCTGATAATAATTATTAAACTTAATGTATATACGCCATTTGTAATAACAGGAACTTGCCGTTCAACCGAACGCTTGGCTTGCAATTTTTCACCGAATCGAGCAATTTATGCCGTAATAGAAGCCTTTCTAGAAATAATTGCAGCCTAAAATCAAGTTTCCGAAGTATTAAATTCTTATTAAATTAAAATTCATGGAGCTTTGACAACTCGCCAGGTGGACATTCGTGTCTCCGCTAAAATTATTACGCTTACTCTTGTAAATTAGAGTCATAGCGCTTAGGATACCCCCGATATTGAATTTTTTCAATAAGTATAATAATACTAGCATATTAACGACTAGATTCAATTTAAGACCATCATCTTGATTTAGAGAGTGTAGTCCAAATACTCCACAGAAAAGCTCGCGAGTCGCGAATAAACAAAAAAAAAGGATGGAGAATGTTTAAGCGCCTACCTTCACTGATTCTCTTAAAATTCCTCGATGTACATGGTTTGCCATTTTCCGCATGTTGTGAATTCACCTTTGGCAAAATTACCACAAACAATAAGATGGAAATTAACATTTTGCACAAAAAGTATAATGCGATGTGTTCCGTCTGTGCTTCAATAAGTCAATGTGCGGCAATTAATTGCACCAGGCATCTATAACAATGCTTTATTTACATAACAGGTGTTGAATTGCAAAAGATCCTGAGACATTTTAATTAATTTTCTATTCAACCGAGCTGATTGAAGTCTAAAAACTGAAAATGAAAAACTGAATTATCACATCCTTTATTGCACGGCAGTAGAAAATTTTAGTTAAAAACATTTGTTTAATATTATTTGACATTTTATGATATTGAAAACTCTCGTGTATACAACAATTGATTATTATACTAAGTGCATATTTGGATTATAGTCCAAGCAGTTCAGTTACTTTTAGCCTTTTGCTAACAGTTTCCTGTAGGTACAGTACTGCTCAGAAGTAACCTAATGCGACGAACGCGTTGAGACCGCGTTCCCGAACGCGTTCAGAACGCGTTTTCGAACGCGTTCCGAACCGAGTTCCGAACGCGTTCCGAACGCGTTCCGAAATGCGTTCCGAACGCGTTCCAGAACGTGTTCTGAACGCGTTCCCGGACGCGTTCCGAACGCGTTCCAGTGTTTTCACTTAGACGCTTCGTGTGCCTTCGGAAATTCCGAATAAATTATCGAGCAGCTAGACAATATGCTTATGCTACGGTTCTTAATTCCGCTTTTAGCCTGCGGGACCAGCGCTATTTTATTTCGCAAAAATAAGCGCATATGTGACTGCGGTGTATCTCATTCGAAAATGATACTAATATGTATGTAGCATCTTGAGAAATTCGGACTTGATGGCCTTAGGATATGCTATGCTTAACCAAAGCCAGTATTTGACAGGGAAAACGCTGTTAAAATTAGATGACTCTTATCGCCGTCTTTGATCAAAGAAACTTTCGGTAGTTAATAAACCATTGTTTTTTTTATTAATAATAATAATAATAATAATAATTAATAATAATTTATTTATCCATCTTAGGTATAAAATTACAATGGATTTACAATTACTAAATATGATTAAAATGTATGTATATATACAAATATAATAAATTTACGATTTTAAAATTATGTCTATAATAGTGCATTAGTCCTTGGAATAAACGAAAGTTTATGCCTATTGGTATGAGAAAAGAACTGCGGTAGAGTGCTTGGAGTTCTTAGATCATATGTTGTCGTCACAATATCTGTTATGTGTTTCCTGCAAGGGTGCGTCTCATTATCCATAATTTTCTTGTATTCACGTATGGCGAGCATGTCACGACGTTGTTCAAGAGACTGAAATGGATCAGACGGCAAAGCAAGTATTTTTAGACTTCGAGTTTGAATGTTCTCCACCTCATCTATTAAATATTGTGGTAAACCACTCCAAATTGGGGCTGCATATTCCAAAACTGGCCTAATTTTTGTGAAATAACAAGTTAAACCTACTTCCGTCGGTAGGTTTGCTCGCCGGCATTCCCGGAGGTGGAATAAACGTTTGTTTGCCTTTTTAGTAATTTCTTCAACGTGTGTGTTCCATTTAAGGGTATCGTTACACCAAAGGCCCAGCAGCTTGAACGTTTTTACTCTTTCAATCGTATCATTACCAATCATAAGTGAAGGTGGTGCAGGAATTCCTTCTTTGAAACAGATCCACATATCTTTAGTCTTTTTTATATTAAGTTCCATCTTGTTTCTAAGTGCCCAGTCATTCGTTGCATCTAACACCGTTTGCATGTTGCCAGTGGAGCAATATGAGATTGCCTCATCCTGAGTGCAATCATCTGCATATTTGTATGTATTAATCTGCAAATGGTTGGGAATGCAATCTTCAAGATCGTTAACATAGACATTAAACATTGGTGAGATGACAGAGCCCTGAGGGACTCCAGAAGGACAGGACCTAATAGATGATAAACTCGCACCTATTTTTACTCGCTGGCTTCTTCCTTCTAAAAAACTCCTCGTCCATAACCAAAAGCATTTAGATACATTCATTTCAGCTAATTTTCTTAGGAGCAAACCATGGTCAACCATATCGAAAGCTTTACGAAAGTCAATAAATAAGGCATGAATTCCCATTCTTCCATCCCGTGAATTTTCGGTCTTATTGTACCAATTTTGGGTAATACTCGCTAACGCAGATACTGTTGATCTTCCTTTTGTGAATGCATGTTGATTATCTTTGATGTTAAGGTCATTTTATTCAGTTTAAGTTGTATGGTTTCCAAGATTTTTGCCATTTGCGGTAATACAGAGATTTGCCGGAAATCATTGTCAATATCATTCGGGGGTATACTTTGGGCGTGACTTGTAGAGAGTCGGGTATTTAGACTGGGAAATGCTAGAGCAGATGATATTATGAATAATAGGGGCAAGCTCTTCACTGTAACGTCTCAGTAGCCATGCAGGAATGTCGTCCGAACCGCTTGCTTTCTTAGGGTTTAAGTGTTTAAGAATTGCCTTAATTTGTCCAATCGAAGGTAACAGCGGCTTGGTATCCTTGAGTAAATGTTCAATTTCCTCTAGTTTTGGTTTTTCATTAGGAGTGGTGCTCTGCCAAGGCTTGGTGAAACTTTGTTGTAAGCGTTCAGCTAGGTCATCTGTGGGGGCTGCTGAAGATTGGAAGTTACAATCATTAGCAGCCACAAGTTCATATATAATTTTATACCACTTTGCCGGGTTTGTTTTACGTGTATCTTCCGCTTTCGATTGATAATACGTTTTCTTAGCACTAGATATAAGTGAAGAAACTTTGTCACATAATAATTGGTATCTTGATCTGTTCCCTGACGTAAACGCTTTTTGTCTGGCCTTTATTTCTTGCTTTATACGCGGGGTCATCCAAGGTTTATCTGAAGGATGAAAACGTACAGTACGTTTGGGCAGCGTTTTATCAAGAATACGCGTGATCATACTTGTGAATGCCGAAACTTTATCGTCAAACTTTA